GCTTTCTTTTTCAGAGGAGTCCAGTCATTCAAAAAAGCCAGAAGTGAGTCTTATAGAGTTACTCATTTAGAAATATGTGTTAAGTCCCATAGCTGAGACATTGGGGCCAATCTGAAAGAAGAAAGTGAAGGCTGTTTTTCTCTTCAAGGGTATTAAACTGTGGGGGTGCTGCCAATACGCCCATATAAACAGCCTTCATTTATATATAAGACCCCTTTTTATCAAGAGCCAAAGGGACCCAACTTAAGTTGTAGCATCCAGCTCCAACCAGGGTCTTCAAAGCTTGGAAAAAGGACAGTGCAGAGTTCAAAGTACTTTAGAGATGAGCTAAGGAGAACCAGCAAACACCTTTGGGGTTCAAAGTGAGCTCTTCTCTTGGTGCCTTCGCAGCTCAGATGAGTTGGAAGGCCTCCTTTTGGGGGTTGACAGACGATCATCTGACCCTGCCCCACAGCTCCTGGCCAGGTGTCCTTTGGTGAGCTCTTCAATTCTCCCCCCCCACCCCCATGGAGCCCTCCTTCCCACCCACACCTGCACAAAGCACCCCACACCTATGTCATGGGACTGTGGTGAGAGTCAGCAGAGAAGCACAGAAAGCTGCTGGCGTGCTCTCTGTCCTAAATGAGGTTCTACTACACGCTGGCTCTTTTCTAGCCCACGTCAGAACAAAGCTACCATTTTTAAACAGCGCAGGGAGCAGGTATCTGAACCTGGTGAAGGCTTTCCTATTCTTTGAGGGAATTCATTTGCAAACAGGCCTTGGAGGTTGTAACAAACACAAATCACATACAAATTGAGTGAACCCTGGCCACTTGACCTGAGCGGACTCATGCACCCATGGGCTAAGCATTCCATGAAATAGCAGTGATGGAAGACAGGAAAGAGCAGTCTCTAGAGGGAGTGTTGGGACTAGACCCTGGGAGAAAACGTACCCTGCCCCGAGGAGGCTGGGTGCTCCTCTTGGCCAGGCTCATGCCTGAGCCTATGGTTTTTCTTGTACACATGCAGTCTAGCCAGGACCACAGTTGGAAATACCAAGAGGACTTACTTTGTTTGAACCCAGGCTCAGGACACATCATAAATCCCACACTGTGGTCCTGCTTTGGGGACTTGGCTAGCCAAGGTCTGCAGAGTTTGGGGGCTTGAAGATTCAAAGTATTTCAGAGAAGCCATGAAGTGAAGTGGGGCCGAGGTGACTCTGGAGATTGTGCACATCAGAACTGGTTATAACTGGGGTCATATCCTTGCACCCCTTCTTTTGCACATGGAAGCTAGTTTGGACTTTCTGGCAGGAATAGCACTGAGTCCCCACAAAGGCAATGGGCTATTCGAAAGAGACATTTCCATGATTCTATTCTCTTTTCTAGCTAGGCCAGGTGTGACAGTCAAGTCCCCATTAGAAACCTGTTCTCCAAAATCAAGGGGAAAAAAATGGCTATCAACGGAAAGAAATTTGCGCGTGTTTTAAAAAAATAAAAAATCAAGCAGTGGGTTTGGGTTTGCCTGCTGGCTGGACCCAATACTTCAAAATAGAAGCCAGGGTTTACACAGGGCCACAGATCATGTCAGATTTCAGTGTTCTTCCCGAGCTGCTTTACTGGGGCTAATAAACACCCCCCTGCAACAGCAAGTCTCTTGCCAACAACAACTCAGCCCCTTCGCCCTTGGCCCTTGTCATCAACAAAGCCACATGAGCAGTCTATCTGGTGAGGAATTTTGTTTTATCTTAATATTTAAAAAGAAAAAATGAGAAGAGGGCCCAGCATCTGGGACTGCAGGATTTCCCACAAGGCCTCTTGTCCATCACAATTTTCCCGGAGTTACAGATCTGAGCCCTGAGGTTATTCACTAGTTAAAGCCCCGCTTCTCCCTCTTCCAGAATTTGCTGGGGTTTGTGGTCACTGTGCTCTGGGCATCTGTCCACCTTGGATGTTCTCAGAGGCTGGACAAAGGCACACAAGATGACTGATGGATTTGAGGCTTTCTTCCCATCCAGATATTTTGGCCACTTGTGGCAGAGCAATCGCTCACGAAGGACACACAGCGATCAAACACCAGAAAAGCCACTGCAAAGTAGATTGGGAAACAGAAAAACAAGGAAAGGAAACAGATTCTCCCGGGGCCTGATAGCTGTGTTTTAAAACTCCCAAGTCTTTCTAAAGAACTTGGCATGAAGTTAGGGATCCAGGGATACTTATCTGTTTCTTTCTCTTTTTTTTTTGGTCCCCAAATTTATATTTCTGGGCAGTAAGTTTGCTGAGCAATGAATGTTTCCATGCAAAGATGCAGGCAGCACAGCGAACAGCTGCACGTGTTTGGAAAGACTTGGCGCTCCCTCTCTGACTAGCTCCTACATTTTTGTTTCTTATTCCCCCAACGGACACTCACTCTGACCCAGAGCACTTGGTGATGAGGGGCAATTCATGTTTGGGCTTTGAAGATTAGCTAGACCAGAAATGGCCAACACTTCCCTTTCTATTTTCTGTTAAAACCTTTCAACTTGAAACATTCAAATTAAAAAGCCTCTTACAAATGCATAATATTCGGAGTTCTCAAAAGGAATTTATCCACATGTCTGCCATGTTAAATGTTAGCAAAGTTTATATTGGACTGTCATATTTCTTTACTTTATTCACCAGCATACAAAATGTCGATCTCCACATCTGGTTTTTAATAACCCTCGACATCTGGGAGCGCCTTTTTATTTCTATGGTGGACGAGGAACAGTAGTGATATTGGCAGTGTATATTTTCGAGCTACAACTCCTGTCTGTTTCAATCATAATTAATTACCACTTTTTAATATATTTAATTTGCTAAAAATGATTTCCATTAAACCACATTTCACTGTTAAGAAAATAGTAGTAGGTTTTGGTAGCAGTGGTTTTTCTTTTTCTTTCTTTCTTTCTTTTTTTTTTTTTTCTTTTTAATTAAAATTCTGTATGAATGGATTTGGAACAAAACGTCCATGCCGTTGGGCTTTAAATGCAAAACGAAATAAACTACCCTGCAAAGAAAGTTATTTTACAGCCATTTAGGAAGCAGTCAACAAGGGCTGTGAGCTAGAGAAAGCCTCCAAGTTTGTTTCATGACTTTGGCAAATCATAGCTTCTTTCTGTGCCTGGAGTTTTCCTACAGCAGCGACTTCAGGGGTCAGGAACCTTATGATGAAAGCTAAGGCCTCCATGTAGAGAAATATATTTACACACATACTCAACAGCATTCTGCATTGACTTTCAAGGGGTTGCTGGGCCTCTTGAAACCCATTTGCAGAAGCCCTAGGGTCCCATGCTGTAGACTTCCCTTCTTTATTAACGTGAAAAGGAACATCAACTTCGCTTTTCTCCAGGGATGGAGAGGAAGTTAAACGAAAGTAAAAATACATTTTTCCCAAGTCATGTAGGGTAAAAAGGTTATTTATTGCCAAGAGCAGTTGCTAGACTATGTAATGATAAATAGAGGTCATTTTTACAAAAGAAGACCCAGCTAAAATAATCCATGTACTGTACCCTATTTTTGCAAGAATATTCCAACTAAACTGTCAAGTGAAAATTCTCACTGATGTATCCAGTTGGGGCTGGGCCCATCACTTGTTTGTTTCCAGTCGGGGGCCCTTCTTTACCCTGGTGAGCTATGGGTCCCCTGCAGTCTCTCTGAACCTCTGCTCAGGGTAGCACTTTAAAATGCAGAAAACAAAATTCATAAAAATGTAAAGGAAACGGATTATATTGAAAGTCAATTCAAAGGCTACACGTCTGAATCTTTGAGTGGATAAAAAGTACCATGACCTATTTTCAAGGTTAGGTAGAATCGTATGAAAACTGCTGTTTCTCTAGATCGTAAAGGCCGTGTACTGGCTTTTTCATATGACTTCATCTCATAGTATAACAACTTAGGTGACTCAAATAGTGAGAACACAATCTTAGTTATATTTTTCCTGTTCCTAGTTTTCAAAACAAAGAAGCAGATCATGGTAAAATCTGGTTTCATTGGGGATTTATTAAAAGATGTAGATCCCAAATTAGGCATGATGCCAGGATATGGACCACTTAGTCTCGTATTCTTTGTTTAGATCTTTACAGTAAGCAGTGAAAATTGTTCAAAGCAGGGACTTTGCAATAGTGATTATTCTTCTATCTTCAAAGATCAATTTCTCTACACATTGACTAAGTGAGGAAAGTGCCAGAGCCATTTTGGAAACATTTTCAACAAGAATTCAGACCGAATAAGTTTCAGTGTATCCACAGCCGAATAGATGACTTTAAATTAAACCAAACTTCCTTTCTGCAAGCACTCCGCTGAACTGAAAGTTTACTCTCTTTTCTTTGAAACGTATTTGATCGCAAATGTATAATCATTCCATGCAAATGTATAATCATTTCATGGCATGCACATCCTTTCTTATGCTGACAGGGAAAAAATCCTGACAAATAAGCAGACGATCCTATTTTGGAGCTTTGTGAAATAACCAATATGAATTATCGCATGCTGAAAGAGTTCATTTCACTCAAGTCGATAGTGTTTTTCTTTTTTTTTTGCAATTTTTCTTTAGCCTTTATTGATACTTTCAACTTAAGAGAAATGAAGGGTATTTGATTACTATAATTACTTCTTTGCTTACTTGAAAGGTTTAATCTATTCCGTAGGCATATGCAATTCAGACTGCATGCTTTCTAAAAAAAAAAATTGTAAAAAATCATCTGCTAATGTAGACTAATTTTAATTTGCTAATCTATCTTGACACAGAGTCAGAGCTGGGTGGGTGGAATGTTTTCATTCGGGGGTTGCCATAGAGACAAAACGTGGTTATGTATTTGACAAATCTGTGATGTGGAACGTAAGTTACTATGGATTTTTTTTTTTTTCCTCGCTCTTTAAGATTAAAAAACAAAGTGAAGATTAGCGTGCCTTTGCAGTGCATCTCGGTGTAACTAACCTTCTCTTCTTTCATTCTGGTGCTCCCCCCTCTCTGTGCACCTCCCCACCTCGGGCCGGCCGCAGGATGACGAGGAGGGCATATGGGCATAGCCGGGCCTGTAAACCAAAGTTCCAGTTTTGTTTTGAGGGGTGAGAAACCATCTTTTATATCATTTTTCCTTTTTGAAAAAAACAAGTTGCATTCTAGTGTTGTGTCGTGTGCGTGCTCGACTGTGCTCGCTGCTGTCTGTGACCATGCCCTGTGTTTGCTGCTGTGTCCCGTGACCGCACAATGTCTGTGTGCCCTGGCCATTTCCAAGAACCCCTCCGTCCTCCCTCACCCTCCCACCCCACCCCACCCACATTGCTCTGCCTTGTTGGGGCTGGGTTTAGCACGGGTCAAATGTTTCTGTGTTATTTCAAGATGTAAACAATGCCCGAATTCGGATTCATCCCCTGTGTAAGGCATGATTGTGGACTCAGAAATTGTTGCAATTCTCCAGGCGTGGTTTTCAGCCGACTGCTTGCTTTTACCAGATATGCCAGTGTGGTGTGACTCTCACGTCCTTCTGGTTCTGTCAAATGTTTGGCAAGGAATAAGGAAAGTAAAACTGTTTATCTTCGTGGAGCTGAAACTGTCTTCTCTAAGAAGCCCGTTTAATGGAGTGTGCTCTCTCTTCTATGGCAGTTCTGAAGAAAACGCAACGATCAAGGCATTGTAATGGTGAATGGGTAACTAACTCTTTAAATGAATTAGCGTGGAAATACTAATGCTAGCAAGTCTCATTAGTGGCATCTGTTGCTTTAAAACAATGCACTTCAGTGGAGCTTGGCATTATACAGTACGTGCATTGCATTTTGTAGAAGATGTTGCTCTTTTCAAAGCTGAGTTTTAGCTATGAAAAGTCCACCCTTTAGTTCTGTCGCGTTATAATTGAATAGTGGCACATGACCACCTGGTTACAAATGGAACATTGAATTCTGACAACTGTGGCAGGCTGCTTGCACCAAGTCACAAACTCCCCGGAGTTGAACATGTGTGCATATGGTTACGTGGAATATGATATGGAATTTGATGACATCGTGTGTTACATTTTGTTCAGAACAAGGAACGTGGTAGATTGCGTGCCATGGTGTTTTTTTCTGCTCAAGTAATACTTAACATGCAGTTCATTTTTCTGGGACAAACACGAAATGTCATAGTGCTGGAGAATCAGCAGGTCTGGGGGACAAGCAGTTAGCGTAATGGCTATGCTGTTGAACTCCCGCAGTTCGCGTCCCTGACCCAGTGACTTAAACTCACGCCAGGTGCATGTGCATGCGTGCCCAAGATCCCGAGAGGAGAATGGAGGAGAAGGGATTGCGGCGTGGCCATCCCCCCCGCCCCGGGGGGGGGATTTCTCGTTTTCTATCTCTCTATCTCTCTCTGTGTTTTTGGCGAGCACACGTACCCTATAGCAAAAACTTCTCAAAAAAGAAAAAAGAAAATCAGCAGGTCTGGGACAGTTCTTTGGGCTAACTTAGCATGTGTGTCTCTCCCTATGACTTGCCATGTGTGTCTCTCCCTGGAGTCCAGCGACACGTATCAGGGCAGTGGTACCTTGGGTGAATTTTAAGCTAGAACCGGTGGGGTTTGCCCATGGTTGACCATTTCATTCTCGTGTTTTGCTTCTTAGTTGAATCTGTTCTAGGTCCCATTAATGGATCATATTGGTCTCTTTGGCACTGCAGGGAATACCTGGGGCAGGGTTTGTTTTTAGATGCATCTTTTTACACAGTAAAGACGTAGTGTCTCCCTGATCTCTTTGCTACCCCTTAGACCTGCTTCATGTTCACACTGAAGTATCTGTTCTCTTCTCCCTCTCCGGGATAAAGGAGAGGGAGCACTCAAATAAACACTTCCGGATGCAACGTGCACAGTAAAAATGTAGTGTCTCTCTGATTTGTTTGCTACCCCCTGCTTCATGTTCACACTGAAGTGTCTGTTCTCTTCTCCCTCTCCGGGATAAAGGAGAGGGAGCACTCAAATAAACACTTCCGGATGCAACGTGATTCCAGGGGGAAGCTAGTCAGTGTGAGGAGGTGGGGAAGCCAGAGAGATTCTTACTATTGTGTCAGAGAGGTACTCTCCCTATCTGTGGAAACCTTTAAAGAGAAGCATCACATTCACTCAAAAGCCAATAAAAATATAAATCGGCCTGAAACAATATCAAGTGAGAAGGGTTTCATAGCGTTAAAAAAACGAACATGTGACACATGTCTGGAAAAGAGAGGCAGATTCTCAGAGAAGTGTCCTGTCACTTGAGGGTCCTCTATGAAGTCCTTTCTTCGGCCATCGTAAGTGTTAGGGTGCTAAGCTGCCTTGCTATCTCCTGAATAATAAAGATTATTATTGCTCTTTAACCAGACTTACACCATCCATCATGCTATCCCCTGAGATACGAACCCTTTTATCACCCTGAGATGGAATAGACTCCAAGGCCCTTAGAAAATCCTGCCATATTCAAGGTAAATGTAGACAACCATAATATGCCACCATGAGCCCTTTTTTCCTCCATGAATGGCCCCAAACATTATGCACCCCAGAAAACGAATAGCTTCTGAAAATTAGTCAATATATAATTCTACTTTCATATGTTGTAATAAATTTTATAGGCTTCTGAGGAAAACTACTTATCTTTCTTTATGACTCCTTTAAACAAGTTTGCTCAGATAGAGCCTCGGGCTTTTAAAACCATATCTTTAAGGATTTAAATAATGAAATACTAGGGGAAATTTCTATTTTTGAGTGGCCCTGGCATGTTTTGAGTTGTATTATGATCCATGAGACCTAAGGAGACATTACATTTATAACTAAAGATGGATACTAGTGGCACATTAAAAATGAACTGTTTTGAATGTTTTGATTTATGACCCTTATAAAAGAAATATTACAAGATGTTATTTTACTAGGCATCAGTAATATGCTCATAATCGCATCAGAAGGCCCTGGCTTGAATCTGGAGTTTTGGTGCTGAAATGAATCATAATTTAGGAAAAGTCACTCTAAACATTACAATTAATGAGAATTAACATAACCACCCAGACAGTTCCTCCCTTTTTTGCCACTTCTGGATATTGAGCTCATGATTTATTTTTCTGGCTATAATCATTCGGGGATGGGATTTCTGAGAGAAAAGTGAACTGGGAATGCTTGCTCATCTAAAGAGCTGTGACAGCCCCTAGAACTGCCTCTTCTCCGTAAGTCTCACACTCAGGCCTGACTTTATCAGCATGTGCCCACACGGCCCTGCACAGAAAAGGGCTCCCCTCCTAGTTTAAAGTCTTGAAATTCTTCATTTTCAAACTTTTTTTTTCTTTTTTCTTGCACTGAATCTTACAAATTATGGCGACCATGCTGCTGAGATTCATCTTCTCATGTTCTACTCTGTCTCCAACTTCTCTCTCCTCTTCCTTGTGGGCTCATTCACATTCTTGTTTTCTTTTTTTTTTTTTTTTTTTTTTTTTTTTTTTTTTTTTGAGAGGTTTTGCCATAGGGCGTGTGCGCTTGCCAGACAGACAGAGAGAGACAGAGAGACTGAAAGCGAGAAATCACCCCCCAAGGGGGATGGCCACGCCGCAGTCCCTTCTCCTCCATTCTCCTCTTGGGATCTAGGGCACGCATTCACATGCGCCCGGCGTGAGTTTTAAGCCACCGAGTCCGGGACGTGAACCGCAGTCAGCTACATGGGAGTCCAGCGACATAGCCATTAAGCTAACTGCTGGTCCCTCATCCTTGTTTTATTTTTAATTTTTCTTTCTTTATTCACAACAGAGCACAGGCACATGTGACATTGAAAGAGAAAGATGGGCACCTTCGGCTAGGTCTGGCTGTGCTGTGATCCCCTTCCTCCAGCCCATCGGATCTAGGGTACACAGGTGCATGCCCAGCGTGCTTCAGGCTGACAGGGCCTGGGATTGGAAACAGAGTAGCCAGGTGGGATCTAGTGTCTCTTGAGTAGTGCATTGTCACCACACCACAGAGGCAGCCTGTTACCTGTGTAGCAGGTCTATCTTACTCGTCTTGATTTCTTTTGGAGACTCCATGGGATTGCTTTTCCATCAAGTTGATATCCTCGTGGGCATTTTTGCAATGAACATTCAACCACTGTCCTCTCACCTCTTGCCCACCACATGCACACACACATACACACACACACTTATGATTGTGAAAATGTGCTCTGGGAGCCCTAACTCTATTTCTTATCCCACTTTGCAAAATACAGAGAAAAAACCCCAGCTGCTTAGATCTCCTTAACTTTCCTTCGGGAAAATCTACTTGATGTGCCAATCATTTGTGTCAGGAAATTATGCTTCCTTTTAATTGAATCGAAGTGTTTTCCTTAGACCCAAGAAGCACTTTGGTTCATGAACATTCAGCGAGGTGGAGAAGCAGGGGATCAAATCGAGGCACCTTGTAAGATTTGGCCCACATGGGCCTTGATGTTCGAATGTTTGAGTTCTTTCTGTGAACTCTTGTAATTGAGTAGACATAGAACACAGATCATGTTTATTTCTTAAACCACTAGAAAGAAGTAAGTATTTTTTGATTGAAAACATATGCAAATTTTTAGGGCCTGATTCATAAAAGTACAGATGTGGCATTAACAAGTTCTGGCATGGGGCTGGGATGCTGGTGGATACAACTGCTCACAATGAAGGATTGTTGCTACATGCTACCAGCACATGGACAGCGTGATGGTGAAGGCTGAATTCCCGAACATTTAGCCATGACGAAGGGGCTTTTTACACATAGGAGCAGTGCTAGAAGGTATAGTAGAATAAGACAGGAGATGTTTTACTGGGCCTGGGGAGTTTACATCTTCCTTGTCTTCTCTTAGCAGATAGGGTCTGGATACAAGGTCTGTGCTTATCCTGGGGCAGGGGAAATCTAATGACTGAAAAGGAATTTTTAGATGGGGGCCGACAGATGACGTGGTGGTTAAGATGCTGGACTTCCACGTGGCTGACCGCAGTTCAAGTCCTGGACCTGGTGGCTTGCTTTCTCTTTCTGGTCAAATTGAATAACAGTAACAATAATAAATAAAGTAAGTTAATAATTTTTTAAAAATGAATTCATAGATGGAGCCTGGGCTCCAGGCAGAGTGGAG